CTTAAAGCTGCTGAGGTTGAGAAACACTGATCTAAGGGGAAGGTGATTAGATGCTGTTTCATCTCCGGCAGTTCAGTCCATGGCCTCTTCCAGTAGGTTTTCTGAGTGACGTTTTAGGAGCACTTGGTGGTCTCCCATCCCTTTTTTCTGAGCAGCTGAAATTAGCTAAAGGCAGCCACCTAACTTGACGAAAGTCGTGTCCTCAGTTCCAGATGACATCCATGTTCTTTGGGGGGGGGCACGTTCCTCCCGTGTGATTCCCAGTCTGCCTTACAGCTCTGTGATTTCCTAGTGGTCTCCCATCTTAGTATTAGGTCTCATTCGACTTAGCTGCCAATTCTAGACAAAGCAGCTAAGTGTTTGATTCGACCTGGGGAAGCTAAGCAAAATTAGACCTTGTTCACCCTTGAAGACGGGGAGTCCCAGCATTACGGGTTGACACAAACGTCTCGGGAGAAAGCAGGAACATGCCTATCCTGTACTTTTGTCGAGAAAAGCTCAACTTATGGGAGACGTTATCTTTAGAGGGCAAAGGCTGCTGCAGAAATCTAGACTAACTTCTTCCTTCTTGCTTGTGTAGCCCGAATGCTCTTTCAACGTCTTGGAGATACGAGCGTTAAACACCCTGAACCACAACCAGGTACGAAATTGCACCTGACCCTCAAAAAAAAAAAAAGGTTTTATTGGCTTGAGGATGGCTCTTCGCAAATTTCCACCCATCCTTCCTTCCCGCTTTAGATCTTGGTGGAAACAGAGAAAGCCAGCTACAATCTGAAGTTCCCCACTCCGGAAAGTGCTGGCCAGGTTACGAGACACGTCAACACTGCCTTAGCCAAAATTTTTCCCAGCCCAGCTTCCGTGTGAGTATGCAAGAGCAGCAGGGGTGGGGGGAAATCGGCCATAAGGTTGCCAAGTTTTTTTGCCTTCCCTGCAGCTGTGCCCCGAGCTCCCTTGTGGGCAAACCTGTTGCCAAGGGCGATGCTTTCTCTCCCCGGGACCCAAAATGTCTGCTGGTTTTTGCTGATCCCTGGGGTTTAGGGGTAAAAGAGCAGGCCGGGTGGCTTAAGTCCCAGCTTGCTGGCAAATGTAGGGGACAGCAGAAACGGTGCTCAGCGAGAGAAGTGGAAAATGGGACGTTGTTCTGGCCGGTCCTTTGCAAACATTTCGAAGCAGCTTAGAAACAGAGGGAAAAATTGGAATCGCCTACCAGCATCGCTCTTCTGCAAGAGCATTGGCACAGATTTCAAGGTTTGAGCCAGTCCCCCATCTTGAGACCTCCCGGACCACAAGTCCCAGAATTCCCAGGACTGTCTGGATGGGACTACTTGGGAAGGGGTGGTCTGGGGAGGCAACGTTATACATTTCATTTTGATCGTTCCCACGGGCATGGGGGTCTCAGCGCTTTTTCTATCACTCGGGCTGACAGCGGCTCTGCAGGACGAATGAATGCCGCTTGACTGACAAAGCCCCCCCCTCCATGGATTTTTGTCATATCTTCCCTTGAACCTCATCAAACTCTATCCCTAAACTCAATTTAGGGGTAGAGTTTGATGAGATTCAAGGCAGGATCCATAGGGTGGCCTTTGCCTAGGGCCAAATTCTGCGTTCTCCAAACCAGCTGATGGAGTTCTGTTGCAAGGCCAACATTGTGGAACGGGCCTGGACTGTTTTCGATGAGTGGAAAAACTGAAAAAGATGATATGGGAGAAGAGGACAGCCTGGCTCCAAATTTATAGGGAGATATTCTCTCTCTCTTTTCATCATGCTCCTGGGATTAATGTCCAATCGGGAGCGCTCCAGGTGTGCTGTGTTATCGCTTCCAGAATTCTTAGCCAGCCCAAGGATTCTGGAAGTTGAAGTTCAGCACATCTGGAGGGCACCATGTTGGAAAAGGCAGATGCACAGTGTGAGAAGGGTATAAGAGCTCAGGTGCTCCGGTCCCTGATATGCAGGTAGTTCTCAATTTACGACCATTTGTTTAACTGTTCGAAGTTACAGTGGTGCTGAAAAAAGTGACTTACGGCCAGTCCTCGCACTTACAACCATTACAGCGTCCCTGCAGTCATGTGATCAAAATTTGGGCACTTGGCAACCAGCATGTATTTACAACAGTTGCAGCGTCCCACAGTCATGTGATTGCCACTTGTGACCTTCCCAGGGGGCTTCTGAGAAGCAAAGTCATTGGGGAAGCCGGATTTGTTTAACAACCGCGTGATTTTCTTAACAGCCATGGCAAAAAAGGTAAAGAAATCAGGCACGACTCACTTAATGACCACATTGCTTAGCAATGGAAGTTCCAGTCCCAATTGTGGTCATAAGTCGAGGACTACCTGTAAAGTCTTCTTTTTTGCCTCACTGCATTCCAGCTGCCTGATTCGCCATGGGAATGTGGAGACTCCGGAGACATCCAGGGACGTGTCCCCCAATTCAGAAAGTTCAAACTCCACCATTCACAGCGTTTGTGGTGAGAAGGGGATCGCGAGCCAAGTTTGGCGGAGGGAGAACGGTTCCCAGATTTTCAGCACTGAGTCCTTGCACGGTAGAAAGTCAGGAGCTGAAAGCTTCCTTCGGAGCAAATTGTATGAAATTTTAATTACAGTTACGGCATTTTCCACTTAACCCACTGACCTGAATCCCGGAAGTGTTCTCATAAAAACACATAAATTGCTTTGCTGGATCAGACAATGTCCATTAAGCACTTGCAGCCAAAGAAGTTTAGAAGCTTGTAAATCAGGTTGCTGTCTTCTGAGGTCTCCCTCCCACTCCTGGTTATCAAAGGTATATTGCCTTGAGACGCTGAGGTTCCACCTTGAGGAAATTGAACGCCGAAAAGCCCGTTTTAAAAATGATTATTGCTACTTGTTGTCGCTCATTTAAAACATTTTATTAAATTGTCTGCTTCTTAGGCGGTAGACAGAAATTAACGGGTCTAGCCTCGCTTGAAACACAGTTCGGAAGAATCAGTTTGGAGCATGTGTGAGCTTAGCGCCTCTCTTTTTCTCATTAAAGCAGCTCTATCCTTTTGAAAGGTTTCTGTGTGAGCCTGAAAAGTGACACGGCTGCTTTAAGAGATCGAGGACCTGACTGTTTAATGAGAGCCAGTTTGGTGTAATGGTTAAGGCCCTGGACTAGGAGCAGAGGGACCCAAGTTCAAGGCTTTCTTTTGGCATGGAAGCTAGCTGAGTATCTCTGGGCCAGTCACTTGCTCTCAGCCCTAGCCTGGAAGTTGAAAAAACTTCTGGGGAATTCTGGGAGTTGAAGTCCACCCATCTTAACGTTGCCAAGGTTGAAAAACACTGCTCTAGGCAATATACAAAATTATGATATCATGCAATGTTACTGGATGTTTATGTTTTTAAAAGCAAATTATGGCAAAAAATTCAAGCTTCCATTATATCCTGATTTGAATAATGACACTGCTGTTTACCTAAAAAAAACCCCCACAATTACTATTTGCATCAATAAAATAATTGCACAATCTTTGTTTAGTCCTTGCTTTCAGGGCCTGTGTTGAGAAAGCCGAGGGCCTCTGTACAATTCACAGGTATCTCAAAGAAAATGCAAACAATCCCCTTACATAGAAAGCTAGTATGATAGACTCCCTGATACACTAGTTTTCTAGATGCAAGGTTTGTTTTAATACGGAAAAGCACATTTTGTAGGAAAGTTGCAGAGATACTGGTATGATTCTGATCTTCAACTTGTCAAGCTTCTCAGTGAAGGCAGTTGAGAGAGAATATAACCTTTTCCCCCCTGTCCTCAGGAGGTTTTTCTGAAACGTACGCCGCCCTTTGCGACTACAATGGACAGTCTTGCCGAGAAGAAGTTCAGTGGGTGAGTTCACCAACCGAGAAGAGCGAGGAATGGTTTGTTTTCTCGGTCAGAACTTTCTTGTGAAAGCAGCCACTGTCCCATAAAATGGTTCACCACATCCTTGAAAACAGCTGCAAAATAAAGCAATGGCTGCAGTGGGGAGAATTCAAAAAAGTCAAGATGGCAGCCATGACCGTGTGACTAGAGCCCCGCCCCTTTTAATACATGGTCACGGCTGCCATCTTGACCTTTTTGACCCATACACCCCTCCATGGATGCCCTGGATTGTTCAGGATGTAGCCCCTTTTATGACACTCTCCTTATGTCATTAAGACATCTCTGCTTTTTAAAAAATAGGACGTTTTAGGGTTTGTAAGTGTTTCTTTGGTTTTAAAGCAACTGTAAGTGGCATTTCTGGTACACATTATATCCAAGTTGACTTGGAAGGGGAGCAGAAGAAGGAGGGTGAGCATATTAGGAAAATCTAGGCTATAGTCAATGATGGGAATCTTGAAACATTTTGACTCCAGGCTGGAAGTTATGGGAGAAAAGGAAATCTGGCTTCTTGATAGATCCTGCTGAATCTTCATGTGTGGATAAGAGTGGGCACATTCTCTTGGTCTTGAAGGACACGGGCCAAGAGTCCCTTCCCATATGAGCTAAAAAAAAGCCAGTGGATAACCTTGGCCCACTCCTGGTCTACCTTCCAAGCTTGTTGTGGAGGGGGTATGTGTCAGCCTTGCAAGGTAGTCTAGACAAGAAGCACATCCAGAAGTCCTAGCTCTAACTTTATTGTAAGGTTACATTAACAGAATCTTGCAAGTCTGAAAGGACATCTCCCCCCCCCCACTCAACTTTACAGTCCGGTAAACCAGGGAGGGTCCCTTCTGAGACGTTTGCTACACCCACATTCAGTGTTTCTCAACCTTGGCAACTTGAAGAAGTGTGGACTTCAGCTCCCCATGTTGACTGGGGAATTCTGGGAGGTGAAGTCCACGCCTCTTTAACTTGCCAAGGGTTAGGAACAACGGATATGGGGGG